GTTACCGTTTGCAGGAGCAAAAAAAAAAAAATATTACAAACCGGCACCGGTACCGGTACCGATACCGGCGGTGCCGGTGACGAAAATTGGGAACCGGAGACGGTACCGGTTGGGGCGGTACCGGTACCGGTTCCAGGAACCGGTTGGCCGTCTCCGGTGTCGGTAACGGTACTCGGTACCGGCGGTACCGTGCCGGTGACGGTACCGAACCGGTACCGTGTCCAGGCCTATCCAGAAGTCATTTTGTGCAGGTGACTTTCCAGGTTTGGGGACCCTGAAAAGAAATTGGAGTTTAATCCGAGGTTGGGAAAATAGCAGCAACCCGTTGGCTGTAGAGGTGCTTTGCTTACCACCCCACCCCAATCAAGGGGTAGATTCTACAATGGGGTCTCCTTGCCGTCTGCATTCACCGTGCCATCACTCTATCTTCTCGTCGTCACTGTCTTCTCCTCCTCCTCCTCCTTATTTACACCCTCCGTTGCTTTCTCTCTCTTCTTCTCCCTTGATTCTAGCCCCGAGAAATGCGCCGCAAAACGGAAAAAAGCTCAGGCCAGCAGCGGCCCTGGTGCAAGCGGAAACTAAAAACGACGGAGTTTTCCGCAACAGGAGGATGATCCTCTTCACCGGGATTTCTTTTCTCCCGCTCCTTCAACTAAGAGCAAGAGCTCTTGAAGAGCCATTAGCAGGTGCGCCGACTATTACTTTAGTCTTTATCGTGGTTTACATTTTATTTTTGTTCAATGGGGTTTCCCCAATGAGGTTCCTGAAATGGCTGTGAGATTCAAATATGGTTAATGGAGATTTTCTAGGAATTTGCCATGGAAATGTTTTATGATCTTTAATGGCTGCTGTTTACACTTTTTTTTAGCTTCCGCACTTAATTAGGTTTTCTAATTGAATCCTACTGTAGTTACTATTTCCAAGATCAGTTATGCATGCTTTTCTTGTTTGCGGTCATCAAAATTTTCCAGGCTTGAAAGAGAAACATGGGAAAAAATCACTGAAGGAACACATGTGGGTGAAGCGAAGGAAATTTAGGGAGAGATGAAATTTTAGCTCTGAAATGGTGAAAGAAAACTTAGGGGAATGGAAATTTAGTTCAATAAATCAGTTTTAGATGTTTGTCCAAATTCATTTTCTTTATAAAGATCTCTATCATATAATGATTAACAAATCTAAATGTATTTTCAAATCGGTTGGGGTATTAAAGAATCAAGATGTACACAACCTTACCCCTAGAAAAGAAGAGATGTTTTCATGAGGAGAATTTATAGCATGGACCTAAGGTCCACGCTGACCTTCACACACAAATTTTTATTTATTTTTTAAAACATTAAAATAAAGAATACTTATGTGAGCAATGCGCAAATGCTTATTTGACTCGTATGAAAGGCCACCATACACCTTAGGTTAATGCAAGAATTTGCCATCCGGGTGAGATCGTTGTTGCTCTGGTGCATTAGTCCCAATAGTTCATAGAAAGTAAGAGGCAAATAAAGTTTAATACCTTAACTTGCATTTTGTTTTAGTCCATTATTTACTCTAAGCTTGTCAATAATGACCTTTTGCTTCATTCACCATGAATGTTAAGAAACCTTAACATATGGAAATTCTAAAAAAGTTTTAGAAGGTCAAGTCAAACATAAAAAGAACTAGTTTTCTTTCTCAACCATTTCACGCCTTCCAAGAGTAGACTTTCTTAGAGTTGTCAACTGGTCATGATGAAGTTGGTTGGTATCTAGCTGCATTGGGGGTTCTTAAGTGGCAGTTCGTATGTCTACTGCACCTATTTAGATTATCTTATTGAAAAGTAAATATTTCAAGATTAGTTGTATACTTCTAGACATTCTAGTTTTCAATTTTCAGAACCACTGGTCATATTTTAACAACATTACTGCACTAGAGTTATGCACCATTTAGTAGATTTTATGATATGGAATTCTTGAATTGAAAGTTAAATTCATGTTTGATTCGATTACAACTGTGGTTGTTCTGATGTTCCAGCTACGGTATGTGTTACATTAATCATTGGTTTCCATAAAAAGATAAATAAATGTTTGCATGTTTTTGAGTGAAGCTGTCATTGAAATAATGCCCAAAGGGGATTCTTATTTTTTCCGATTTATTCTTCATTTTATATGATTTACGATTTTTTCAAACTCTATACATACTTCTCAAAGCAATGATCTACACTGAGACGAATTTATTTCAGACTCTCCTGAACTGAAGGCAACAGACGAGGAACCAGAAGTTGAGGTCTGACTCTTTGTCAAATAATTGTCTGCAGAATACTAAGAAATTTTCCTCAAATATTATCCGCTCATTACTTTGTATATAGTCTTCAAGTTTGATTGCTCTGAAACAAATTTTACTGTGGTCAGCGAAGAAGAATTCAAGGCAGTGAGTCCCAGAACCCTTTCCTCCTTCTTTTAAATGTCATCGGCCTATGTGGGTCGGGGGTTCTAGGTGGCCTCTATGTGCTTGCTAGGAAGGATAAAGCCAAAACTGATGCTTCTCTAGATTCGGTACACTTTTACCTCGACATATTTTTAACCATGGAGTTTTTAGTTATCTCAACTAAGGTTGTTTTTGCTCTGATTTGCCTAATAACTGTATCTGCAATTATTGTGGCATAGATTAGAGGTGAAATGGAGGAAAAAGAAGCGACCATTGTTTCATTGGAGAAAAGGGTTGAATCTGAGCTTCTTAAAGAAAAGGAAGAGCGGATTAAGCAGCAGAAGAAGGCGAGTGAAGATCAACAAGTGCTACTTAACAGGCTGTGTTCAGCAAATAGCACCATAAATGACCTCGAACGAGAGGTCCAAAATGAAAAGAAATTTGTCGAAGATCTCAAAATTGCAAAGCATAGACTTGAAGGTGACCTCAGGAAAGCTGGAGAGGAAAAGAACAAACTAGAGGCGGAGCTAAAGGACAAACTTGGTTCAATCGAAGTTCTGCACGAGAGGATGAACTTACTGAGTCTGGAGGTCAAAGACAAGGAAGACAAGCTTGAAAAGAGTAGAACTTTATTAACTGAAAAAGAAGCTGAGCTCCAAGAACTTAGTTCTTTGTATCAGCAATCTCAAAGCAAGCTTCATGATTTGACTTCAGAAAAAAATGAACTCAAGGATGAAATCCTGAAAAACGAGAGAGGATTGGAGTTGAAGAATGCCGAAGTACATAGTTTGGAAGTGCAGTTGGACTCGCTGGTTGTTGAGAGAAATGAGTTGAAAGAAAAGCATGATGCGATAAAAAATGACTATAACAACTTGAAGTTAACTTCAGAAAACAAAGCAGCTTCAGATGCTCAGCTCTTGGAGGAACATCAACAGAGACTGCAACAGCTTCAGGAACAGCTTGTCATTGCCTCAGATGATGTAAACAGAAATAAAGAGCTAATTACTGATTTAACCCTTGAAAAGGTTGATTTGAAAAAAGCTCTTGATGCAGAGATTGATGCTGCAAAGAATTTGGAACACGAGCTTCATATTGCTCAGGGAAATCTGGAAAACTCGAGAAATGAAACTTATGATCTGAAGAACCAACTCGAGCAATCAAGAGACCTTTGTTCTAGACTTGAAGCAGAAGTTACCAGGGTGAGGTCTGACATTGTTGAAATTACGGAAGCACTTCAGAAGAACATCGATGAGACAAGAACAGGCGCAGATCTGTTAGCTTCAGAGTTAACTGCAACAAAGGAGCTCCTAAGGAAGGCAAATGAAGAAGTACAGATAATAACTCAAGAACTAGTTTCGGTTTCTTACACCCGGGACAGCCTACAGAAGGAGCTGGTTGATGTCTATAAAAAGGCCGAGAGTGCTGCTTATGATCTAAAAGAAGAAAGGAATGTGATTGCTAATCTCAATAAGGAGTTGCAGGTTCTAGAGACTCAAATGCTGAGGGACAAAGAAGCGCATAAATCTCTGGAAGCAGATTTGGAAGAGGCTACTAAATCTCTTGTAGAGATGAACCAAAACGCAACGGTTCTTTCGAAGGACCTAGAGCTTTCTATGTCTACCATTTCTCTCCTTGAAGACGAAAAGCAAATGCTCCGTAAGTCTCTCGTAGAGCAAAAGCAAATTTCTCAAGAAGCCCAAGAAAACATGGAAGATGCGCATAACCTCGTGATGAGACTTGGGAAGGAAAGGGAGAATTTGGAGAGGAGAGGGAAGAAACTGGAGGAGGAACTGGCATCAGCAAAAGGCGAAATATTGAGGCTGAGGAGCCAGATGAACTCATCAATTAGGCCTGTTAATGATGAGCTGGTTAAGGCGGACGATAAGGCAACAGTTTCTGCAAGGAGATACACGAGGAAGAGGAAGTCGGTTCCCGACCAAGATGATGATTCGTAGTTTGTTTATTCTCCTTTTTCCTAACACACTCTTTCTGTGTAATATTCAGCAATTTTTGTGTATTGACTACGTTATTCATCTGTTGCGTGTACTTCATGACCACGTTATGGTAATGAGTTTAGCTTTTAGCCTCAACAAGGCATGTTAATCACTCCGTAAAACTTTAACTTCTCTATATTGCTAGTTCAGTTCATTTTAACCGTGTAAGACTTCGAAATTATCAAGAATGCAAAAAATATACGCGCAAACATAAGAAAAATATTTTGAGATAATTAATTCACAGACAAATTTAAAATTTTCTCTTGTTTACTAGAGCTAAATGCTATACTTATATTCATAAGTCATAACCAAATTTTTTCTCGAATCCCATGTTCGGATGTATTTTCTATTAACTAAATACCAATTACTCCCTGTCTCCCTTCATATTTTTTCTGTAGTATTTTCAACCATGTTAGGTATACTCCAAACATCTACACTTACACTTCAATGGCTCATGTTGATACAAAATACCAGTGCGATCCCAAAATTTCACATCGACATTTTGTGTCAGTGTAAGTTAAGTGTACATGTAAATCTTTGAGGTACAAGTTGGGGTACATCCTTTTGGGTAGAGGTATAGTTCAATTCTAGTATTTTTGTGTTCTATAAATCGGTGGGGTTCCCATGACATTGGAACTCCATGTCATTGGATGACTTGGGTGCACTCCAGTACCTCGTTCCTAAAATTGACGGTTCCTACCTCCCTTCCCCCGGTAAACCCCTCACCCCGCTCCGACCCGAACACACCCCCACCCCCTTCAATTGCACCCCACAAGATTTGACTCCAAAGTCAAAATTAACCTGTGTGGTGCAATTGAAGAGGGGGGGGGGGGTGTTCGGGTGAGGACGGGGTGGGAGGGTTTACCAGGGGGGTTAGGGGGGTGGTAGGAACCGTCAATGAAGCACCGGAACGCCCCCGGGTCATTCCATAACATTGCCGTGCAATGTCATGGGAACCGTCCCGTAAATCAGTATTCTCCAATGTTGTAATGCTTGCTGCTTCACCAAATGGAAATCTATTTGGACTTTACAAATCTGCAATCATCGATTTCCCCGTTTTAGAGCTTGTTCTCATGGTTTAGAGTTTAGATGATGAAAAATATTAAAAAATAGTATATAGTGATTTTGTGGTCATTCTTTACGAGAGACTACTAAGAAAATAAATCTTAATTACTTCATATAAAATACCACGTAAGTAATTACTATTTATTGAGAACTAGCAGGTTTCATATAAATCTTAATTACTTCATATAAAATACCACGTAAGCAATATATTTTCCAAAATAAAAAAAATGAATAGCAGGTTTTTTGGTACGATAGACACCAACACTAAAGTAGAATAAATAATATTTGAATAATTGAGAGTGTACTCGAGTACATGTTTTTTGTTTCCATTTTTTGAAAGGCTTCAAGCTAACAATATGTTTGTTATTGTCATTTATAAATAATATTTTTAATAATTTTTAATCATGTATTTATCGTGAAACAACAACATAAAGTTGATCATGACTTTGGTAGGTGGTATCATTATTATAGCATATTTTATCAATCCCCATTCTAAATTAAAATTTAGGTATTACCTTTATCCCAAAATATTCACCGACTTTGTCTTTTTTGTAGTCACACAAAAAAACTTGATGAAATATTAAAGAAAAATTACATTGTATAGTGGTAAAATTTATTCGTCAAAAAAACTTATATCTTTCTTTAACGTGGTAGTATAAATTTAATTAGAAATAGAGTGCACTTTTCTTTCTTTGAATTAGAATCATAATTTTTATAGTATGAGGATCGGAGAAAAGTTTGTGCCCACAAACATTATTTCTATTCTATAGTTTCTGTTACTTACAGTATTTATATTCTCTATATTATTTTTATATATGTAGGTACGACCCATCATAAAAAAATTCTAAACAAAAGCTATATTATACAGAACAATAGTGCTAGAACGTATGTAGTATACGACAAAAGACTATTTTTCAGAAATTTAATGAATTTTAAATGTGTCACAGACCAAGACATTTGAACCTAGACATGCATTTAAGATTTTAGCTAAACCAAATAAAAGTATTTGTAGACAAAATCATAAAGTCATCTACTACTACCCATTCTTACGTGGTGTAGTCTAACCATATCATGTAAGTCAAACCATAAAACAAAACTCTTTTATAAATCAACTATAATACTTCGTATTATTTTTCTTCAATCTTGTCACTCTTTAACTTGGTGACCAACTTCTCTCAATCTCTAATATCAAGTTCTTGTTTATATATTCTTTTCTTTAGCGTGAATAAAATCTTAAATTAAAGAAGAATTGTAGTGAAAAGAATATCATGTATAGTATCTAAATGGATGAAACATAAAAATGCTTATTTTTGGAAGAAATTGACTTTGGCCATGCTAAGTAGAATATTCAAATATGACAATAGTAGCACTGCCTAAAAGTTTCAATTACTCTAGTCTTAATTCGTACCTGTTTGTCATTATTCAATGATTGTAATATCCAGACATCTAGTTTCGAATACAAATCAAATATTTGTTTTTTTGTAAAATCCTACCAACACAATACAATATGTAAAAATGGTAAATGATTTACATATATCAACTCTCAATGTGCAAAATACAAAAAATACCTCACCATGATACTGTAAAACATGAATAAAGCAAAAACGGTAGACTATAATTCTCTATTTATCTTCTCTTAATGGGACTCTGCAAAATAAATGAAATAGAATTGTGCAGATGATGAATGCCACCATATATCTCACAAAGGACATTCTGATTCCATTTCTTTGTATGTGATGAACTCATGGACAAATAAGTCAAATAGTCTGGTGAATTTTTTTTGAAGTGTCTTATACTCGTGTTCCAACTTGAGTCTCGGGCTACCAACACAATATAATAAGTAAAGACGGTAAATGATTTTGTATATCAACTCTCAATGTGCAAAATTCTTTAACAATTGAAAAAATATCTCGCTATGATCCATTTCATGTACGGAG